TGAAATCAGTCTCCTTGAACTACAATCCGAGTGTCTGTGGGGCTGCATTCCTTCTGGAGGCTCTAGACCAGAATCCCTTCCTTGCCCTTCCCAGGATCCCTTGCTGTGGCCCTCAGCCGGCAATCACAGCACTCTGACCTTTGCTTCCCTTGTCACACTGTTATAGATAGATATTCTGAGCAAGGAGTCCCAATATGCAACAAAGGGGACATCAGACACATCAATCACTATTACCAGGGATTGAGCTAGACCCCCTAGCGCCAAGAGAGAAGAGGTAATCTACTTTTTTCTTCTCTCCTGCTATTCTGCATATGCATATGGAAATTCTCTGGGATATTTGGTCAACATCCCACTTTCCACTCAGGGCAATACGTTGATATGAGCAGAATCAACCCTATACAGATGCTCATAGCTTCAAAGTCCATACCGGGCATGCAATAATCAAATTTCTCACCTGGCAAGAAGTACACAAGCACAGATAAAAGCCCATAAATGCAAACAAAGGAACCAGCTACAAGGACAGATCTTCCTTCCTAAGTATTCATGACAAGACCCCACCATAAAGGGAACACCTAACCCCATTCCCAGGGCAGTTGTCCTCACGCAGTTATCCACTCACGTGTCTTTCTGGCATGGAGTGCATTCTTTTCTGTCAAAAATCCTCAACTTCCTTTTAAAAAATTCTTTTGTACCTTACTCATGTTTGTGGTTTTTCATTCTGCATTTCTAGGGAGGCCTGAACCCAAGGAACTGAGTATTTCACACAGCTCTGACTGACTCTCTTGAATCCCTCTTTTCAGACCCTGTGATTACATTTAGGACCCATCCAAAATAACCCAAAACAATAACCAAAATAATCCAAAATAACCCAACTCAAAATCTTGAACTTAATCACACTTGCAAAGTGTCCTTCCCATGTAAAGCAACATATTCACCTGTTCCAGGTGTAGGATGTGAACATCTTTGGGGGTGGCTTTTCTGCCTGTCACTCCCCAGCCACACTTTGTCATTCAGTCGCCCATATTTATTGGGCACCTATTATTTGTAGGTCACTGGTCTAAGTGCTGTGAATACAGATGTCAATAAGGCTGGACAGTGGCACAGCAGTTATATGTGATGCTCCACGAGGCTGACTCAAGATGGGAAAGTTCTGGGTTTGCATTCAGAAACCACCCTAGGTACACAGGGCATGATCTGGGGCTGGCTAAGGCTGGTGGTAGATTGTGATGTCAAGACACTGTTGGGAATGCTGTCTCTTTGCCTTTCAGCCTCTCTCATTCATGGGAGAAATACATATAATAAACATTAAATATAAATACAATAAATAAATAAATAAGATAGTAGCATTGGAAAGGGCCCAGGAGCAAAGGTTATGAGTTCCTTTTGTGCTTTGTATGACCAGTACAGCCCTATTTAAAAAAAAAAAAAAAAGAATTAAAACCAGGAGACTATATAAAAATCTAGAATTCTTGGTTTCTCTGGAAAATCAGGTGAGCAGGCCACCTTGGGCCTATTCACTTCCACAGTACAGCAACCATGCATGGAGTGTGGATGCTCTGACAATGCACTCCCCACCTGGGACCACCATCCAGTCCCTGTCACCCCGTCACACCAGCTGCTACTTCACTCACTCTGACTCACTGGCTCCTGAAAGCGTTTGAGTTTGGACACCACAGCTTTGGGACAGAGATGGTCAAGAGGGGTACCAAGATACTGACTGGGGAGCCAAAAGAAAATATTAGGCCCTCTGGGGTCGTTGTCATCTAAAAGTATCAGAGCTGAAGACTTCGCATCTCTGACGTACAAGCTCATAGTCATTCTGCCTTTGTTTGTATCTGAGCCAGTCACGTGTTCACTAGCTCATGGGCAAGTCTCCTGAGGGAAGAGTCAGAGTTCCACAATGCAGAAGTGTTGACTCTGGCACCCCGTCTCTCTCTCTCTCTCCACTCAGTGATACACCACATTCAGGTTTTCCTGGATAACTGGGTTACCAACTACATTTCATCACTGTAACTAAACAAAGTCCACTCCAAAAGATCAGATGCTTAAAGCAGTCCTGCAAATAAACCATAGGTTTAACATAGCCCCCTCCTTATTAACCTCCCCTCATCCACACTTTCACTTTACTTGGTCTCAGTTACCCACAGTCAGCCAGGGTCAGAAAATATGAAAGAATGAGACCAGCAGTTAGCGTAACGGCTATGTCGCTGGACTCCCACCTAGTCGACCGTGGTTTAAGTCCCAGACCCGGCAGCTTAAACTCATGCCAGGCACATGTGCGTGCGTGCCCAAGATCCCAAGAAGAGAATGGAGGAGAAGGGATTGTGACTTGGCCAACCCCCCGGGGGGGGGGGATTTCTCGCTTTCTCTCTCTGTCTCTATCTGTCTTTCTGGCAAGTGCACGCACCCTATAGCGAAAACCTCTCCAAAAAAAAAAGAAAATATGAAAGAAAATTCTAGAAATATACAGTCATAAGTTTAAATTGTGTACTATTCAGAGAAGTGCTCTAATATTGCAAGCCATTCCACTCCATCCCCCCACCTTCCATCCCAGGAAATGAATCATTCCTTTGTCGGGTGTATCCACGCTGTATATGTTACCCCATTACTCAGTACCCATCTTGGTTATCAGCTCAAGTACCATGGTGTTGCAGTGCTTATATTCAAGTAACCCCTATTTTACTTATTAATAGCCCCAAAGCACAAGAGTAATGATGCTGATGTATTGTCATAACTGTCCTATTGTATTGATAGTTATTGTTAATCTCTTACTGTGCTTAATTTACAAATTAGACATTAAACTAGATCTGGAAAAAATAGTATCTATAGGGTTCGGTACTACCTGCAGTTTTAGGCATCCCATGAAAGGTCTTAGAATGCATTCTCTGCAAATAAGCGGGGAATAAGATATATAATGAAAGGACCAGTAAGAAAAAGGAACAAGTAGTACCAACACTTTCATGCCTGGACAAGGTCTTCCCCAGCCTTGTTACAATGCAAAATAATAACAGAGAAATAGCCAAAGACATCTGACATGAAGGGAGTCAAAAAATGAGAAATTATTACACTACTGAAAACATGGGTTTACTGTGTATATTGTACCTTGAGAAAGTGGCTAGTAAGAGTAGTACTGATAATGACTTACAAGTAGGGATATACTAGATGTGAAAGTTACAGATATTTTTACTGAGACCCTATCTTTCTACCAGACAAAAGAGGCTTCTGCTGTTGTAAGACACCCTGTGTCCTCCAAGGACTGAAAGCAGTGCTCACCCAAGTGTCTGACAATTCGATTCCTCCAGATAACAGTCTGAATCACCCAAAGAGATAACGTCACACATCTGGACACTCAAGAAAATATTCCTTCCAGTACCCCAAACTAGATTTTGGTAAGACATAGGCATCCAATATTTGTCATGCAATCAGAGCCAAGGATGAAGAACTTGTTAAAAGACGTGTTAAAATATGTGCTATGAAACTCCTTATTCAAGAAATCTCCTTTATCCACATTTACTACCTCTAAGCAAATATCTAAGACCCGTTAGCTCTTACCCAAGTTAATTGCAAGTATGAGGAAAAAGGAGGGTAATGAACAGGAAAGGACAGAAATGAGTATTTACCAATTGGTTCTCAGGCTTCCAGGCCATCTTACATAGTATTTTGTCCAGGCCTCTGTGAGGAAGCTATTATCATCTCAGTTTTACAGAAGAAAAATCACCACCCAAAGAAGTAAACTGACTTCCCCAAAGTCACTCAGAATATACAATGGCCCGCAGATAGAAGTCCAGTCCATCTAACTCCAAAGCCAAGAGCTTCCTGTCGCTGATGTTGACCATTAAGGTCACCAGCTCCTCCCTCATCACCACTCAATCTGTCCCCCAGCACCACTCACGGCTCTCTCAGATCTCCCTGGACTGCAGTCACATTGTCCTCCTCCCAGCCATGCTGCACCAGCCCCAGGCCTCCAGTTCCCAGGAAGGGGCAAGGAAGGGGACAGTAAAAGCTTCAAAACGGAAGGAAGAACCTGAGGAAGGAGCAGAGCTGGAGACAAAACCCTCTCTCCACCTGGATAGGGAAAGGATGAGAGTCCACCGCAGGGGCCCCTCATGCCCTGGAACCTTACTCCCAAGCTCCTAATGAAACCATCCAGCACTGTTGGCAAGCAATGCTGGTTATTTGCCCTTGCCTAAAATGCAGAAAAGAAGTCTTCAAATAATACTAGAGAAACAAGGCCTTTGACTGAGAATGTGTTCTCTAAAAACGTCTAGTAGAAAGACTTTTGTTGAACTGAATTAAATTTTAAAGAGCTGTAGAGGATAGGAAGGCCCAAAGTATAGGGTTCAATCATGTAAAAAGTCTAAATAATTATGTTCTTAGAAATATTTAATGCCTGAAAAGAGCCATGGAAATGTAAAGCGCAGCTATCTAATTGCACCCAGAAAACTCAATGTGGAAGGGCAGATATGTGGAGGACTTATGGGACAATGGGCCAGTGGCCACAGAATCTCCCAGGTGAGTTTAAGGTCCCCAGATCGGTGATGGTCACGTGCAGTCGGGTAACCCGCACAAGGGACAGAACTAAAACAGAAGCGGAAACAACAGGAATCATTCACCCTGCTCCTTGGAGGCCATGTCAGGAGGCCTTTTTCAACTCCAAAGCCTGCGGGAGGGCCCCGCGGAGCTGCGGAACAGGCCCGGACTGGGTTCCCGGAACTGGCCTAGCCCGGGAGCTGAAATTTGCCGGGGCTGAGCGGAGGCCACTGCGCAGGGCGGAGCAGTCTCCTCCCGCAGCCGACCCGGCCCGGAAAGGCCTGGCCGAGAATCACAAGCCCGGTCGCCCCGGGACGTTTCCCACGCACCGCACCCGCCCGGCGCCGCGCTCTCGGAGCACACAAGGGGCTCCTGCCGGCGCCCTCCTCCCGGCTCGCCCACGGCTCCAAGCGGGCTCCACGCGCGGCCGGCCGGGGAAGGGATGGGGAAGGGAAGTTTAGGGCGCGTACCTCCGAGCGCCCCGCAAGCCCAGCAGAGCCCCAGGCAGGTGGCGAGCAGGACGAGGCGGCGGGACCCGAGCCGCCCCATCCCGCCGCGATAGCCCAGCACCTGGCGCTGGGCCCCGGGCGGCGGCCAAGCTACCTGCGCCAGCCCCTCCTGGCTTGCCGCCCGGAGCTGGGCAAGGGGGCGCCGCCCCCAACCAGCTCGGGGGCTGGACAGGGGCGAGGAGAGCCTTTTCTAACTTGCTGCTGTCTCCCCCCTTCAGCTCGCCCCCTCGCTCCCGCATCCACTGAGCCAGCCGGGCCTTTATCCTCCCACTTCCCCAGCGGCTGATGGAATCAGATCCAGCTGGTGCAGGGGCTCCCCAGGCTCCAAAGGGGTCGGGAGTACATGGCCACCGCCCTGCCCGGCCCAGATCTACGATGGAGTTAAGTGGGCCCGCGAGCAGGTGACTGTGACAAATCGAGAGGGAGCATTGCAGACTGGAGCGTTAGTGGGGGGAGAAGAATCCCTGGATAAGGTAGACGCGAACCGGGCCTTGAGGCAGCCGGTTCCCGACGAAGGTGAGCTTCAGGAGGGCAGGAGTTCGTTTACCTTATTGCAATCCTCCAGGGTATGCTTGGTGCCTGGGCATCAGAAAGTACTTGTTGGGTGAGTGAGCAGACAAGGAGGAGATAATCCGCTTCTCCGGACCACATTTCCTCCGCCGTGTTCTCTGCAACAATGTACAAATGCCAGAGCGTGTACTACAGGACAATCACTCAATGCTAGTGCGGTTTTGTTCCCAATAACCTTTAAGTTGTCTTCCTTTTTTTTCAATTCTGTAATAATGTGCTTTTTAAGCATAGAGTTAAATTTGGACCTTCTGCATATCATCTGTGAGGCCACTGTTTTTTCTGAGCAGATTTATTTTATCTACCCTGCTATCCTCCATAATTGTGGGAACCTCACCCACTTTGACCCCTACCCTGGCCCTCACCTCCTGCAGAAAAATGGGAGTTGGCCTCTACTTTCATGATCTTTCCAGGTCACAGGAATGATCAAAGAGTGGGCACTTGACCCAAACAGAGCCAAGTTCCAACGTGAAGATTTTCAAGGACAGCTTCCAAGGGAAAAAGAGTCTTCTCCTCTCTGGAAGGGAGGCCAAGCCCTTGGCGTCTTTGAAGAAGCTAGCATCCAGTAAGAGAGCAGCCACAGAGAAGAGGTGCAGCACAGGCTTTGGGTCTGCCAGCTCCATCCTGGAGGCCAGTTGTATCTTTATCCTTTCTGGCTTTGATTACATGAGCCAGGTAAGTTCCCCTTTTAACCCAAACTAGCTCAAGTTACAAGTTCCCCTTTTAATTCAAACTAGTTGAGTTTCATTACGTGTAGCTGAAATAACCCTTTCAATTTTAGTCAACGCATGACTTATAACCTCATTAACTATGATTAATGTTCTGTAGTTCATAAATGTGCAAGCCTGTCGATGAAAAGCAGACTTCCAGCTGACCAGTGATGGACTCTAGCATGATGTCAAGGATGTTCCATCCTTGGTACTTATGATTACCTTACTTGCTATGGGCTTTCTCCTGCAAGCACCTGCAGCTCTCTGCACACGGTCTTAGTCAATGCAGGTCATGCTCAGTCCACATATGCCCAAGACATGCCAGAAATGAATGCTCACAGGGGCAGCCTTCAACCATAATGAAAGTGATTTGGTGGGTAAATATCTAAGCTTCCTTGACCTGGGGTGGGAAAACTCTAAGCGGTTTCCTAGAAGACTGAGCTCCATGGCATTGACCTACTTATTAACATGAGTACTTGGTGAGACCTCTTCCTGGTACTCAGTCACAAAACCAAAAAACGATGGCGCTGAAAGGAGTTTTCAAGACTGATCTAAAAGCAGTGGTGTTATGGTTAAGAGCCCAAACTTAGCACAGGTGCCCTAGGACAAGTCCCTTAGACTCTCTGAACCTTGGTACCATGCCTGCCACATTATTTCTTATCTGCAAAATGTGCATAATAATAGTTTCTATGTCATAAAGTTGTTGTTTCTTCCTTCTTATAATATGGAAATCATGCCAAATCTCTACATAATCCTTTTAACTTTAGCATTCTTAAGTTCACATTCTAAACAAATGGAAAATCTCTCTACAAGGGATAAATTAATAAACCCAGAGTTGGCCCTATTCCAAGCCAACTGTCCTATCTTGACAGCCTGAAAAGCATGCTGGGCAGTTCATAATCTTGTAATAAAAATCTGCCCTAGGCTGAGAGGCCAGTCAGCTCAGGCTGACCCAGAGATGCAGAAATTCTCCTGGCAGGCTCTAGTATCCACAAAAATCTAAAAGCACAGGAAATACAGAAATTCCCTTGAGAAGTTCACATTGTTACTAATGTCTCCCAATGGAGCTTCTACTCAAGTGTAATCTCTGGCTAAGAAAATAGGTTTTTTGTCTTGAAAGACCTGACTACAAATCCTAGCTCAGGTACTAGTAAGTGACATTGGTATGTGACCTTGGGAAAATCACTCAAATTTCTCAGTTGTCTCTTCATGTGTAAAATGAAGATAATCATGCTGATTTCATAGGTAGGTTGTGTGGTTCAGGAAATTCATGAAGCTTGAGTATTGGACATTGTGCCTGTCTCATGTTAGAAACTCACAGGGCCCTGTATGAGCCCAGCTGTGTCAGGCCTCTATGCAACCTCTGAGCATCCTTGGCTAGATGCTCCAGAGAATGAGCCATCTCTTTTCTTCAGGATGGAGTATTTTTTTCTTTACTTCATAGGCTTAACCATATGTACTGCCAAAGACTACTCATGTTATCCATGCTAGTAATTTAAAGCATCCTCTAAATGCTTACAGTTGTTCTGATTTCCTTAGGGCCAAAGAACCCTGGACCAGGTGGGTGGGAGTTGTGGCTCTGGTCCTTGATGTGCGATAAGTTCTATTCTGCATCGGCCTCAGTTTCTTCCCCCTATGAATTGAAAATGATTAAGTTATCTATAAACTTCCTTCAGGGTCAATATTTTTATGATTCTTAAAGGTTATCACTGGCATCAAGACAGTGCCACCATTTAAATAGAGCCCTTTTAATTAGTGCACCTGGAAACTTGAAATGTTTGGATTTCTTTACAAACCAAGGCAGTGATTGTTAATAAACTTGGAGATTTTAATTTAGAAAAATCATCCAAGTGTCAGAAAGAGAAGACGAGGAATTATTTCCCTGTAGAGTACCACTTGCTCCTCTTCTAATTTATCACTTAAGTGCTTCAAAGATTAAATGTAGTCTCTAGCCAATTTCCATGGCAGTTAAGAGGACTCTAGGATAATGAGAAAGTAAGAAGCTCAGTTTCTAGGGAAAAATCCTTTGTTTATGATAACTCTAAGGATGTTTCTTTATTATAGTGTCTGGCCAGGAATTCCACCCACATGAAGGTCACACTCTAATCTAGGTATTTTGGCTGTACTCTCCTGCTGACCCTGAGCAACTGGGCTTATTCTATTCAAATATTGGCCTGAACACTGTCTATTCAGAAATGATATTATAGAACAGAGAACAAATTTAGGGATGTGCATTCATTCAGGGAATGTTCACTGAACTCTTCCAAATGTGAAAGGGAGATGAAATATGTTATAGTTAAGCAGGGGTCAATTAGTGCCCCAGCTTTCAAGGAAGTTGTATTATAGAGAGGGATCTAAGATAGGTACAAGAGTACTTTTAGTAAAAGTGAATTAGAAATTGGGCAAGCCTCTGCACCCAAGGCTCTCCACTGGAACTGTCCAACCCATACACCATTGATAATGTGACTGCCTTGAGTAGCCATGTTTGATTTGGACAATTTCTCATCCTCTAATCCCCGTGTCTGGATCAGGGTAGAGTCCTAATCTAAGGGACATGACCCCAGGGTACAGTGTCAAAGCTGATTCCTTCTCAAAACGTTCAAAGAAGAAGCTTAAAGAATGCAATGACTTGGTGGCAAGTTACAAGTCATGTGGAGATGACATATTCATGAGCACCAGCAGAGAACCATGTCTACCCACACTGTGGAGGAAGGGAGACCATGAGTCAGCAGAGGAAGCTACCTGTTTCATCTTGGCCTTTACCAAGAGAAGATTAACACCACATCCCTGAGGAAAACTGATTAGAAGAGACAGTCGGGAGGCAGCCAGTGGCATAACAGTTAAGGCAGCTGGATTCCACAGGGCCTATTGCAACGTTCCAGTCCTGGATCTGGTAGCCTGAAAACCATGCCAGGTGTGTGTGCATGTGTGCCCAAATGGAAGAGATGGAAGAGAAAAGATTGTCACATGACCATCCCCCATGGAAAATGCTTTCTCACTTTCCTTCTCTCTCTCTCTCTGTGTGTGTGTGTGTGTGTGTGTGTGTGAGCACACATGCCCTCTAGCACATTTTTTTTAAAATGAAAAGCGATAGTCAGAGCCACAAACAGTAGCTGGCTGATGGCTGTCTAGTTCCTGTGAAGCCCAGATGTTCTTCTTGAATTTTACTTCCATGATATTTTTCTGGGTTCTTTCAATAAATATACATTTTACTAGAGCTAGTATACAACTCTAGCTTCCCAGATTCTATTTTATAACTTTCTATATTTTGCCAAAATGCCACTTGATTTCTGTTTTGACCTCCCAATCTGCTATAGATGTGAAACTACATCCAAGTCAATTCAGAGTTTCTCTCCTGTGTCCCCTCCCCCAAATTGAGCTGAAGTTCCATGGAACTTATGTAGTGTCCATACATCAATGATGACTGGAGAAGGGGATGACAGTGGTCTGCTACAAGGCACACTATCCTCTTGGGGATAACCACTGAGACATTCCTCACCCCATGTGACCTTTTGTCATTGCAGGCTTTATGAGAACAGCCTCCATTCCATCTCAATAGACCCATCAGGTGTCAGCAACATTTCCCATTTCTCCTAGGCCACTCTGAATCCTCGAGCCTTTCAAGGTGCAGGCATTCTGTTGGGATGGGTAAAATCCTGGCCACCAACATTTGCCACAAAGACATTTTTCTCTCCTGTAGTCTTCTTGTCTTCCTAGGGTCCATAAATCTAGATGTGGAGGTTGAGCTGTTTACAGGGAGCTCTGACTTCCTTTAGGATCCACTGGTATCTTGTTTCAATCACTTCCTATCTGCCCTGTCTCCCAAAAAGAAAGTCCTTTTCCTCTCAACCTGCTAGACACTGAGCAGGGGGTGCATTGAGTAGATGAAGGTGGAGTTCTAGCCAGCCAGTTGATGAGGACACAAATTCTGAGTTTGATTATTGAAAAATAAAGTTACCTTTATTTTACTCAGCTGTAGGCTGGGACTTGCATTTGCCACATTAAGAGGCCTGTGAAGGAATGCTAAGAATTTTCATGGAAACTAGCCTACACCAAGACTGGTTAACAAATATTTGAGTTTGAGCCAAATGCTTTGAGGCAATGGCTATGACCTCAGTGAGCACTGATGTGTGAAGATGAGGAGGACTCTTAGAAGTCACAGCTAGTTTCTGATAGACCTGTCTTTGAGAGTACCACAGATGCTTTCAATCTCCTGAAAAGTCCACAAAAGGGATTACGAGCACCCAAGATCCTCTGCCCAGACTTCACCCTCCTGCCCCCGCCTGTGCCCCAGATCTAGCAAAGAGCCAGGACAAACCAATCAGCAGCCATGTATATTTGAGTTCTGAGCAGCCCCATTCAGGGATTATGACCACCAAAGACCCTCTGCCCAGACTTTACCCTCCTGACTCCTAGATCTAGCCAGGAGCCCAGTTGGAGACCTTTCTTATTCTCTCTCTCCATCTCTCTCCCTCTCTCTTTAATTAAAAAAAAATAATTAGACTTCTTAGCTCTCTGCTGCTCTTTTGTCTTGCTAATTCCTACCTTCTCCCCTACCCCCCATAGAATAAGCCAATCAGCAGTCATCCATATTTGAGTTCTGAGTGACCCAATTCAGTGATTACCACCACCAAAAACCCTCTGCCCAGACTTCATCCTCCTGACCCCCAGATCTAGCCAGGAGCCAAGTTAGACCACCTTGCTTATTCTCTCTGTCTCTCTCCATCTCTCTCTATATATATATCTTTAATTTTTAATTTTTAAACTTCTTAGCTCTCTGCCACTCTTTTGTCTTGCTAATTCCTACCTTTTTCTCTGCCCCCATAGGACAAGCCAATCAGCAACCATCTATATTTGAGTTCTGAACAGCCTTAGTGTGCTGCACAGTTTTCATTTCTGGACAAAACATTTTTTCCCTTTTTTATTGTTTTTGTCTTTTTTTTCTCTTCTTTGATTTTTTTTCTA